ATATAGTTTCTCTCTTACTTTATTGTTTTTATTTTCAAGGGAAATTCTTTCAGAATCCTTCCTAGATTAAGATTATTGGTTTAATTCATATCACAAACTCACCACTCATATTTTTTGTCTCTCTCAAATCAAAACTAATTTAAGAATTTTTCAAACTTAAAAAGTTCATGATCTTGGAAAATGGTTAAAAATTAAAATGGTACTAGAGGTTGGCGTTTTTTATGATGGAGATCCTATTAGTGGCGGTGGTTATTTAGAAGGGTGGTAGATAGTGGTGGTAATTGTGATGTTGACACTTCAATATTTCTTCCTTGATTTTCATTGATTGGGTCTAATTGTTTTCAATTTCTTCCTCTAAATTTTAGCTATTCTTAGATTGACCCACAATATTTTTAAATTATTCTTTATTAAAACCCCTTTATTATTAACCTAGTTTTCATTATGTTTTCTCTTCTTTTTTTTCATTTTTCATTTCTTTTTTCTAAAAAAAAAAATTATTGTTATTATTATTTTTATTATTTCATAATAAAAATAATTTTAGCAAAAAATATCTCGACAAATCAAACCCTCAAAAATTCATTTTTTTTTAAAATCCATCCCGAAATTATAAATTCTGAATAATTTTTTTTTCAAAAATTTTAAGGAGAAAATTTAGATGCTAAGAGTTCCTTTGATGGTGACTAATATTTAGATAAGCACCAATGACAGTGATGGCGGCAATTCTAGTGAGGGGTTGCTATTACAAGAAATTTTGGCCACCTATGGGAAAATCAATTCCACCTAAGAGTATTTGCTTTCTTTTAGGATGTGCATTTAAAAAAATTATAAAAAAAAATTATTTTTCTTTCCTTTTTCTTTTTCAGCTCTTTTTAGTTCTCGTTGATTTTTCTAATTTTTTGTCATTTGTCAATTTCATTTTACACGAAATATGATATGTCACTTCATGTGTCACTTGTTATCGAAAAATTGAATTGAATTTTATTGAAATAGTGATATTAAAAAAAAATTAAAATAAAAAAATGATAAATAAATAAAAATAATAATAAATAAGCTAGAGTAAGAAAATTTTAAAAATACATGAATGAATAATCCATCAAAACTTATTTGTGTAAAACTAGATAGAAGAACACTATAAAAAGCCATGCCTTTGTGTTGAAAAATACACAGAACAACATATCTATATATCCTTCCTTTCTTTCTCTACAAAAAGATTACTCTTATATCTTGTTTGTTTGCTGTTGAAAACACAATAAAAGCATTGAATTTTTTGTCAACATCTATAGGTGCTTTGTGAATTGATTTTGTTAATGCACAAGAAAATCAAATGTTGAGTTTTTGTTTTTGTATCTTAAAAGGTTTTTTTACAAAAATACTTTATAGCACAAAAGTGGTGGAGGGGAATAAAACGCCAAAGAAAGTGATTACATGCCTAGCTAGCTAGAAGTAATTATTTATAGATTTCTCCAACATTATGTTAGGTTTTTAACTGAATTTATTAAATTATTACAAAATACTTGTGCTATATTAGGACTTAAAAGTAGCTACTGCACCTAAAATAAATAAATAAAAATATAAAGTAAAAGGGTATGCAAAAATATATTATGATAGTAGCATGCACCCCCACCACACCCAAAATAGACTATAGAGGCAAAATATTTGGAGCGATCAAAAAAACCACCACTAAATTTAATAGCTTTTAACTTACTTATGTTATCAAAAAAAAAAAAAAAATGGAGTGGTTGACAAAATTGCCCCACCTCACGTTTTAAGTAGCTAGGGCACCCATATTTTTTTTTAATCTTTCTATTTTAGGTTCGAAAAAGAGAAAGACGCTTCATTATCTATCTCTTAGGGTTTTTCTTCTCCTCTTCCTCTTCTTCTCCTCTTTTTCTATTTAACTAGGCATGATCTCGAATCCTTCGTAAATAACAATTTCTTGCCACACAACATTAGCTTAAACGGTGTATGATGCTAGATTGCTTTATGTTGACAAGATTGTTGGGTACCATAGTAAAACTTAGGTAAGTAATAAAAGAGGATCTTTTTTCTTTGTTTAAGAGATTTTTGTTTTGAATTGTGGTTTTAAGGCTTTTAGTTACCTGTTCAAGTTTTATATTTTAAGGTTTTTGAGAATTGGGTATTTGAGTTTTGTTTAAGGGTTAAGACTTCTTGATTTTAGATTTTTGTGTTTTTTACCATTTCTTTGAGTTGGGTATTCCAATTTTATTTGAACCTTGCTAAAACCAATGTGAGTTTCTCTAATTTAGTTTAGCTATGTGTATCAATTTGTTTCTTTCATGGATTTCTTTGTCTTTAATCTTTTTTGCTCTTGACAAGTGTACATTATGTTTATGGGAGGCAAACTCCATGACGAGTCCGAGCTGGTTGAAGAGTCACATCATGTGCTTCTTTTTGATATTTTTAGAAGGTTTTATTTCTAACACTTCATAGTCTTCATTTTCATTTTTTTGAATTATTAATTTTACCTTAAATATGTTTAATTTTTCTATAACTTTTACCTTAAACATGTTCAATTTTTATCTTTTTTGGTACAGTCATAGAGGTATTGAATGATTTTGTATGCTCTAGCTTTCTTTGATTTTGCTTTATGCAATTTTAGAATTCAAATGTAAAGAATTTATTTCACTGTTTTTAGCTCTAAATATCTGTGAGGTTGAATTTAGCAATAAATAGAAAGCAACTAGTAGTATGATTTTGACAGCAAAGAAGTAGTAAAGGAATCAATCATGTATGCAATTTTAACCCAAGCCAAGCTTATTATTGGTGTTACAATTTTGGTGAACTTTGAAATCTATTTTCCTAGCCTAATTTTTTACTGCTAACAAAGCCATGAAATTAATTCTTTCTTTGCTGATGCACCAACACAAATTTCCTTGGAGTTGTTAGTGTTGTTTGGAATAGATTTCTTAGTTCTCACATAACTAGGAGCAGGGATTCCTTCACTTCAAGCCTCAAATTATGGATGGAATTTTTTCAATAGGACATTCTGGGGTTGGTTCCATTATTGGTGTTATCGACATAGGTTAGTGGCAAGATGCAAACATTGTTGTTAGTACTTAACTTTTGGTCTTATTTTCTTGGTGCATAGGTATATGGCAAGAGTAAAAAAGCTCTAGATATGAGGATATGGCAAAGGTGCGATCTTGTTGGAGAGGAGGAAGGAGAAAGATTTAATCAGTCGCATTGCAATAGGTTGAAGCTCATATTTTATTTCAATCCAGGATTCACTATACTTTTAAATAGATTTAAGATTTTTAGGCATGTCAATATTTAAGTACCTACTCTTAAGTGATCTAAAATTCTGGTCATAATAATACATGATGACTCTACTCTAAGGATATAGTTAACTCCAATTAAAGAGGAATTACACTCTAAGAAATGACATTTCTAGTTGTCAAGTTCCTTCGCTTCTACTTATTAATTGTCCTTTAACAATTCTACTTATTAATTGTCCTTTAACAAGGTTGCAGTAGAATTTAATTGATGCTTACTGCAATTGGAGACTTTGGGTTGGAAAATTATTATTGCTCATTGGTATATTAAAGGTTATGAAACTGAATTTGGAAATCTAAATACAAGTGATGGGTTTGAGTTCTTATCTTCTCGAGATGATGGGGCTCATGGTACCCAAACATCATCAATTATAGCTGGCGGTCTAGCAAAAAATGCAAGTTTTATGAGACTAACTCAAGGATTAGCAAAAAGGGGTGCCCCACCAGCTTGGTTGGCTATCTACAAAGTTTACTAGGAAAGTGATGACTGCAATGAGGCAGATCTTCTTGCTACATTTGATGATGCAATCTTGTATAAAATAGTTGGATTTAGAAAAGAGGGTTTTTTAATTCTTTGATGATGTTTGAAAAAAATAAAGAGGCTACCTATTTCGTTTTTAATCAAAGCGTAAAGTTTGCTTTTTATGAACATTAGCTACTTATTTTAAAAGATATTAGGAACTTTGTTTAGCTATTTTGAACAAATGTTCAATACTTAAGTTTAATCTTTTATTTGCATTCAACAATATGTAATTGTTTTTTAGTTAATTATTAAATTTAGAGGTTAAACAAAACTAATTGAAACATTAGAGGTGATAACACAATCGCCTCAATAAACTCTAAAGTTAGAGGCAGTTTTACCCGTTCTACATGATTTTTAGTTAAAATATAAAAATTCTCAAGAACTTAAAGGCGGTTACAAATAGGTGTATATATGTCGTATTAAAAAATAAAGTAGGACATAATCGATATTTTAGAGGTGGTTTTAATCATCCGTAAATAATCGCTTTAAAATTTTTCGATAGTTGAAAAAGCCGCCACTACGGCTTAGAGACGATAGCATCACGGACGATTAAAAAACCGCTGCTACACTTTGTAGAGAGGTTATATCCCTCTTTTTTAAAAAAAAAAAAAAAAAAACACCTGTAATGCCCTATTTTGGTAGAGTGCCCTTATTAGGTAAGAAAATCGACTAGTATGCATGATGAACATTTTAAGGATTCATTATAATGGATTATGAAATTGTAACTGCACAGCTAAAAGATTAAGCAAACTCCATTCTGACTTGATCACATGTAGTCATTTATAGTTTTAAATCATGAATGCAGTTGTAAAAATAATTCTGATTATGGATCATAATTCATTGCAATAGTAAAATAAAAACTATGGCAATAGAAATTATAAATGCAGACTAGAAGTTGTTAATAAATTTATTATAATTTACATATTTTTAATAGTTTTATTAATTTAACATAATAATATCTATAATAATTTAATATCACACAACAATAATTGAATTTATTATTAAAAAAAAACTTAATAATACTCCCAATAGTTTAAACACAAAGAATAAATAAATAAATAACAACCGTATTTTTTCACTAAATAATAGCATATAACGTCATTATTTGTGTAAGACGTCGTTATGTTTCTTATAACAACGTATAACAGTACCTTGTATAATGATCGATACTTGGAAAAATGGTTTCACCCAAATATTCCTGGCAGAAGAGATGTTGATGATCTCGAATAGCGTTCAAGGAGTGACAAGACTTTCGCGAGCTTCCTCCCAAGACGGCTATCCTCATGAAAATTCCTGCCAGTCATGTCAACAAGAATTAACCTGGCTGATGGTCCATAGTGTTCCACCATTTCTCTCGACAAAAATACCTTCTCCAAAAGTCCCAAAGCCTCTTCCTTCAGAGAATTTGTTCCCGAGGTGAAAATATCCAGGACGGGTTTTATGGCATCAGCCTCATGCAAGACATTTGCTCCTCTGTTAGGAGAGCCTTCCTGGACCAGCGTGGAGAGTGTCTGAATTGCTTCGTGAGCAATTGCATGATTCCTTTCTCGTAAGAGCTTTACCAGGACGGGTAGAGCATTTGCCTCCATGAGACAAAATGTAGATTTCACACTGCAGATACCCCCATGAGCTGGACATAAATGAGGACGTGTTGGCCGAAAACACGAACATCCTCTTGCTTTGGACACAACAACAAGCTCCCGACTGCTTATGGAAAGATCACCAATGAGTGCTGCCGCTCTTGCTTTTGCCACTACTGAGCCAAATGTCAGTAAGTCTACAAACAAAGGGTAAGCTCCTTGTTCTACCACAATCCGCTGTGACTCGAGATTTGCAGGATCTGTGAACCTGAAGAGTGCACTTAGAGCATTTTCCTTTGCTTCCATGGTCCCTGTCCTTATAATGTTTATGAGGGCATTAAGCCCATCCAGTTCAATTAGCTTCATGGTTACGGCGACTTCAGATTTCGGGAGATTGGCTAATAAACCAGCAGCAGCCATTTGTACATCACTCTTGTCATCATTCTCAAGAAACCCCACTAAAGCCTCGAGCCTTTTAGGCTTAAGAAGGTATTCCACCACTCCTTGTGGTTCATGGTGAGAGAACAGAGAGAGAAGATTTATGGCAATTTCACGAATTTCTGAGTTGGTGTCATCAAGAAGAGGAAGTACAAGAGAAACGCCTTTAGCAGTGAGAACTGCAGTTTTAACCAAACCTGCATCAAACTTGCAAATTCCAAGAAGTGCACGCAAAGCAGGCCTCCGAACATTGTGGGATGAGTGGGCAATCTGTTGCAAAGCTAACAAATCGCTGACAATAGGTTCTAATTCAAGTTGGGCCCCATTTTCATCAATAAAGAATTTAATTCCATCATCATCACAAGAGAATTTCTCCAAGATTTCTGAACATTTCACGATAATCATTGAATGCATAGGAGCAGAAAACATTAGATTGATGACAAGCGGAAGCCCAGCAGCAGCAGCGATAAGCTCTTTATTGGCAGTGCAATCAGAGAGTTTAACCAGGGCAGACAAAGATAACTCTTTTGATTCCAAATTCCCAGATACTAACATTTGAAGCAAACTAGGTAAAATCCCTTCCTCACCAAGGATCTTTAAGTCTGAATCAACCAATTCCATATTAACTAAAGCTCGGACCATTGATATCCTTGAAGAGTCAGGCCCTGAAAATTTTCAGAATGATCACGATACATTCAGAAGGGAATTAGGGTGTGGATGCTGGATGAATGGTGCAGGTCTATCTGAAGGGTGGATTGTGAGTCGGCATAAGACATGTATGGTGACACATAGGATGTGTGAAGGAAGTGAAGAACACGTGTGTGATCTGTTGAATGATGATGGGGGTGGGGGGTTGGTGTAGAGAAGCTCAGATTAGGCTTCTTGACAACAGGTTATTCTCTCTGCAATTTCTCTCTAAGACTAACTTTTGTTTTCTTCTTTCCTTTTTTCTTGTAAACTTGCATTGTGATTTTGTACTGTTGATCAATTCTTGAATAAAAATTTTCCGTTCATATCAATAAGCAGAATCTTGCAACTTGCCTAAAGTTCTTCAATATAGAAATTGGGAAATAGCATTAATTGGTAGCGGACCATAAAGGAGAAATTGAACAACAATGGCAAAAGAAAGTGCAGACCTTAAGAAAATGTAGGAATCTATCGCTCAGCTATCCAAGATAATCAATAAACTCTATGAAAGATATAGTAAGGAATTTGAAAGATACGATAATGATATTGTTGAGTTGAAGGAGCTTGTCAAAGGACTTAAGGGTCCAGTGGTTGATGAAGTAAGTAATAATCACAGTAATGGAATTAATATTGAAGGAGTCGGAAATGTAGAAAAGGAAAATTTTACGTCCTGAGTATGGGTATCCTACCGGCAATTTCAATGGTGAGTTCATGTATAGTGGGTATGTGGGAGATAATTCAAGATATCAATATAATACAAGGATGTCTCGGGTAGAATTTCCCAAATTTAATGGGGAAGATTTTGAGGGGAAGATTTTGAGGGGTGGGTTGTTAGGTGTGAAAGATTCTTTATAGTGGATAGAACTTCAAAGGAAGCTAAGGTAAACTTAGTTGCTATTCATTTAGAAGAAGAGACTTTAGAATGACACCAAGTGTTTGTGAGGATGCATGGGGTAAATACTTCGATCAAATAGGAAGAATACATCGAGGTTATGAGTATACGTTGGAGAAATAATATTCAATGATCCCATAGACGAGTTGATAAGATAGAAACAAATACACGACATTCAATCTTTCCTCAAGAAGTTTATTTCTGTAGTAAACAAGTTGATTTTCCCTGAGGCTTATGTAGTTTCATTGGCAATCTTAAACCTGAATTGCAAGTCCCAACTAGAATTATGAGGCCTAAAAATCTTATAGAAGCAGTGGCATTAGCCAAACTCCAAGAGACCAATCCTAACATTCAGACTTAACCCAATAGATTCTCTACTAAATTTCCTTCCTTGACCAATTAAATACCCAATAACCATTATGTTTTTGCTAATCAAATATCAAATCCTACAACCTTTTATAAACCTACAAACCAAATTGGACATAACCCATCAAAGAGTCCTAACAACTCTTACTTTCAAAACCAAAAAGGCCTACTACCTTTGCCAACTCAATTTCCAAATGGCAATTTTGTGTTTAAAATTAGAAGACTGCCTAGTAACAAAGAACAGGATGAGAGTAGATTGAGGGAACAACGTTATTTTTATGATGAAAGGTATACTCCTGGGCACAGGTGAAAAGGAAGACAATTGTTTATGCTGGAGGTGGAAGAGGAAGGGAATAATGAAGAGAATAAAGGAGTAGGATTGGATGATAATAATCTGGGAATTGTTAACAATATGGAAGACTTAATTGGAGAGTTGTATTAGATTTCTGCTTATGCAGTGTTTTGGGGTGAATACTATCAAACCATGAAAATTGTGGGAGAATTGCACGGGAAAAGAATGAATATACTAGTAGATAGTGGTGGTATCCATAACTTTGTGGACTTAGTTTTGCAAAGAAAAATAATTGTGAAAGTGGCAAATGGATGTGAGATTTGTTGTGAGTACATATGTAACATTTTTAACTGGAAAATGCATGAAAAATTATTTGAGGCTACTGTTTTTGTAATACAATTTGGGATGTCTGAGATGATTTTGGGTATTGCATGGTTATATGCACCAGGAGACATTACTTGAAATTTTAAGGACATGTTGAGGAAGTTAGTTAAGGAAGGAAAGCTATTCGTATTGCAAGATACTTGTACAAATTTGGTTTAAAATGAGGAAGAAAAAGAGTTTGACATGATTCTGTGTAAACAACATCATTTGAGTTGGTTACAATTGAATCAGATAATAGATATAGAAGAAGTGGGAATGTCAGTGTGTGGCATAAAATTGGAGAATAATATTCATGCTGAAATGGATGTAATTTTGGACAAATTTGTAGATATATTTGAAGAACCAAAAGGGCTACCTCCTCACAGGACTCATGATCATAAACTTACTTTGAAAGAAGGGTCAAAACCTGTTAGTTTAAAACCATATGATACCCTGTTATTCCAAAAGATGAGATAGGATTCAGATCCTACTTGTTATTATGTGTGAAGAAAGTGAAGAACACGTGTGTGAGTTGTTGAATGATGATGTTGCTTTTTGTTGTTAGTTAGTTAGGATTATTGTTACGATTGTTGTTAAGCCTAACAACTACAGTATTAATGAGGGGGAGAGAGAAGCTCATATTAGGCTTCTTGGCAACTGGCTATTCTATTGCAATTTCTCTGGAAGACTACTTTCTGTTTTTTTTTTTTTGCAAACTTGCATTGAGATTTTGTACGTTTGATTCAATTCTTGAATAAAATTTTTCCGTTCAGATCAATTAGTAGAATCTTGCAACTTGTGTTAAGTTCTTCACTATAGAAATTGGGAAATTGCATCAGATGAAATCAAGGCAACTAAATTGTCCTTAAGAATAATAGTCAACCATGAATTATGGCTGCAGTTGAACCCACATGGACACAGGAATGCCAAAGAATGGAACAATGAGTTAATTCATTTAAATGCACAAATGCACACAAATGCAGGTAATTACTGGTATATTCAATCAGTTTCTTCCCTTTTTTTTTTTTTTTTTGTGCCATGCAAAAATTTCAGAATCTTCAGATTTAGCTAAAAAGCTATTTCTTGCTTTCTTCAAGCAGGTAATGGCATTATTTAAGGGGGAAGAAATATTTTCCTAACCTTGTACAATCCGATCGATGAGTGGTTTATACCAGCCTGATTTTGCAGCCCAAGAAATGTTCTCCTCGTCAATTTCAACAAGTTTGTTCAAGATTTTTTCTGCATAAACAGCTGACTCCCTGACTTGACCTTTTAAAAGAGTGACAAGGAATAGAATTGCACTGCCCTGTTGAGAGAGTTTCCTGCAAATAGACACATTCCAACCAGACCTCTCTTGCAGTAACTCATATAGCAATTCCACTGCAGCCTTCGAGATGCTTGGATCGCGTCCTAAGCATGGAATAACATGATCCCACCCTCCATAGTCGACCAATTTTTCCTGCAACATTTGATTCATATGTTATACTTGACTTACTATGAGTTGATTTGTTCCTTTACACATCTATGGTACTCACAATGCAAAACAGAACTCAAATCTGTCCTTCGAGCTGTTGATGTATTTCACAGATGTATTAACTTGAGAAATTGAGACATGAGAGAGCAAGTCTAGCATAACAACGTATCATTCAATCAGTAAGACATGTCACATGTTTTTTCAAATAGAGAATACATATACATCATAAGCAAATGCCTAAAAACTTCACATTGTTAATGTTGTAGGCATATAGAAGAAAAGAAGATGCAGTTATAAAAGAACCGGTGCAAGCAATGTAATCACTATATTCAAAACAAACACAAAAGCTGCTTGCACATATTGTTGCATCCCAGCATCCGAATGATCATAGAAGCTCTAAGAGTGCAAGAAATATGAAAGTTAACATAAAGTTCAATCATGGTAAGACGACGACCGAGAAATAAAATTGCTGGCAGATTTGAATTCACCGCTAAGGATTTAGTGCGCAAGCTCTGCTATCAAGGGTGCTTACCTTATTTCTTGCATGCCCTTTGACGAGATCTTTTAAGGTTACTAAGATCTTCCTCTTCTCTTCTTTGTTATGAGAGGTCCCAAGAATAGATATCACGATATCTGTAAGACCTCCTATGGAGATCCAATCCTTGTTTATTGAATTTTCTCTCATCAGATCCTGCATTTGACTCAGGACCTCTTCTACAGACGAGTCAACACTTGCTAACAACTTTGCCTTAGAAGCTCTGATTCTGAGGCAATAATTGAGTTCTCTCCATTCTTCAATTGATTGTCTGAGCGGAAGGTTAGATCTCAAAGTTGTATCTTCAAGAATCTCACCTGTTTCAGGGTCGGTTCTATCTCCACGGTCAAACCAGGCTTCAATGGCAGCTCTCTCACAGGTAGTACCAGTACAAAGGCTAACAGGATCGGTCATCACAGTCCCATTTATACGACAAAGGAAAGCAGTAAGTGGAGTAATATATTCTTCCCTATCATCAAACCGCTCAACAACCTGAAGCCTCATAAAATACTGCTTCTTGATTTCTTCATAATCTCTTGCAGCATCAGCATGAGAAAGCAACTCAATAACCTGCTCCAAGAACAGAACTTCAGCTCTTTCTTTCCTATTGGCAGCTTCTTCTTTTTCCCTTCTAAAGCTTGCTAGCTCTTTGCTTATCTCTGAAGGTTCTACAGGTATGCCAACAGCCCTGGCTATTTCTTCCAGCATGTCATTTGCGAAACACTGGTCAAGTTTCTGATCACGCAGACCCTGGTTTAACCTGTCAACAATCTGAAGCTGAGAATGTGAAGCTTCAAATTCAGCCCTTCGCATTTCATCCTGCAGCCTATTCATCTGGTCAGATATCCCTGCAAGGACTTCAGTATTTGCAAGTGATAGTGCAGACAAAGACTTGCCGATATCCCTAGTGACTTCTTGCACCTCATTTACAATATGACGGCACTTCACCAGTAAGTAGAAACGAGCCCGGTTTTTATACTTCTCAACCAAATTATTTGCCTTCTTGACATCTGCTTCAAGGGTTTCAAGTGCTTGCCTGGCAGCTCCAGAGTCATCCAATTTCTGAAGCTGCAGTTCCTTTAACACTGATTCGATGTCTAAGAGGTGCTTTGCCAGAACCTTGAAACTCTCCTTCTCAATTAGAACATCTTTTGCAGCCTGAGCTGTTTTAAGGACCTGGCTCGTTAACACAGCCAAAATGGTTCCTATAGGTACCAGTTCCAATGCCATTGTGTACTTTTAACCCAAATCCTCTAATGAAACTACAGCCAAGATGGATTGCATCAATTGCAGATTATTCAATGCGCAATTTACTAAATTCCCACATCCACATATTCATCAGAAGCCCGCAAGCATTACCCTGTAAAAGAAATAGAATTGGAAACGATGATATAAGACAAAATAAAATCAAAATAGCCAAATGCTGATATTCAAAGTTTCCTTTCAAAAAGAAAAAGAAAAAAAATACAAACAGCGATTCCACCAAAAATCCGAACACGATCTATTTAAACTTTGAACTGCACACACATGCAGAAATTTCTTCTTTCATCTAGCGATGGGCATATCACATATGAACCAACAACTAACATAATTTCGTTGTGCCAAAAACAGAAATGAATCAGAGGCACACCAACCAAGGTTAGGTGCCTACCAAGTGAATAAATGACAACCTGCATAAGTTAAATTATACAAATCAAATCGGCCAAGAGTCCAATCCAGATTCAGCTAAATACCCAGAAGCAGGAAGCCAGATACCAACTTCCAAAACCACATTTCTGCCATTCAAACTGAACTGACAGGAACCCACTTTGGAAAAATCAAATAACAATACAAATATAATATCCCAACTAGTAAAAACAACATAAACCTTAAGTAAATACTAAATGGCCCTATAATGGCAGACAGAAAATATCAAACAATGGATGCAGTAACAAAAACACTAAAGAAGACGGGAAGACTACATTTTTGCTCATCTAAGACCAACAAGCAAAAAGATAAAAAATGAAAACCATAACTACTAAAGCTTGGCTTCCACTTTCTCAGCAACTAAACTTCAATATAATCATCATTTTATTCCATGCCAGAAAAACAAAAGAAACTGCAAGCGAAAAAGAAAGGTACCTCTTGCTTCTTCGCCTTAGATTCTCCAGGAACTTTGAGAGGCAAAGAGCTCTACATAAGCTCACTCAATGCAGCTTTAATTTATTTTTTATATATGACCTTGACTTGAAGTCTTAATTTTAAGTCAAGATTTTTCCAGGAAAATACGCAAGAAAATTCGGTCCCTATTTACCTTAATGTGAAATCCGGAAGAAGTGCTCATTTTTCATACACGCGTCGTGGAAATTAGAAAAATGCAAGCCAATCAAAAAGGTGTGTTTTCTGTGCTTCCTCTCTCTTTCGTGTTTACTCTGGCAGGTATTTCGAAGAAAGACATGTTCTTATTCTTTTTAAGGAGGTAGGACGGTTGATTTGACCGTTAGATTTTTATAAATCAGTTATTAAAAAAAAACGTATTATTTAAAATATTGGTGACTCAAATTCATTCATACTATTCAAATGCACTCAGATATATTATTCGTTTTATCATATAATAATATTTTTATAGTTTTTAAATATTTTTAAGTAATTAATTATAAAAATTTTCATGACATTATATTTTAATCTCTCTTTTTTAAATATTTTATTTTTACTTTTATTTGATTTTGATCCCATTTTTCTATTTTATTTTGGTCATTTGATTTTTTTTCTATTTTTTAATTTTTAAAGTAAGAAATATTTTAAAAAATAATATGCAAAATAAGTTTTTAACTAAAAGTATGAATAGAGATAAATAAATAATATTTTTAATAAAAAATTATAAAAATATAAAGAATAATTAATTAAATACAAAATTTTGATTAAAAAGTGATAAAATTAAATGAATTTTAATGTAATATATTTTAATAGATATATAATATAATACGATATATAAAAATAAAATAAGTTTTTAAAAATAATTTTATGTTACACTGCGGATAAAAAATAAAAAAACAGCTATAGTCCATAGCCCAAGGGAATTACTCCTTTGATTGAATTAACGTTGAATAACTGAAGGTCCTGAGCTGTTCTTGAATAACAAACAGATAGAGACTGGATGGTTTATGGAAGACAAGGTCCTGATCTGCTCTTGAATAACAGAAGGCTTAGCAGACAAGCAATGGGAAAGGACTTCGGCTGTAAACGAGCAGTGGACAATGCTCTGGCCCAGAGCAAGGTGGAGTCGGTCATATTTGGAATTCAATTGCAAAGCAGAAGCCCAAAATGCCTCTGTTACTTTATAAGAACTCTTGTCTTGAGGGGGTCGGGTATAAAAGGGCCTCCGCTAGTCATTCATTTTTCATCCGAAAACGCATGACACTGTACCAAAGTCATTGGCCCAATTGCAACTCCAAATTCGTGTTCTCAGCATCGGTTGGTCTCAGGTCGGCCACTTGCACCATTATTTCATTCCCCGGCACTTTCATAGAAACATGACGGCAGATGGATCGAACACTTGACAGACAAACAGAGAAAGGCACTGCCTCTTGTCTGGGTTCCTTAGTGTTTGGATCAGAAACTTTGACCGACAGACAGACAGAGGCACTGCCTCTAGTCTGGGGTCCTTAGCTTTTCAGGTTCATGATGCTTAAGTTCGAATTACCAGTGCTAGTTTATTTTGATTTTTAACAGCTGGAGCGATCATTGCTTGCACCGATCTTATTATGCAGATTTCCCTGCATTTTGCTTACTAATATAGTCCAATTCATTCTAATACCATTCTCTCTTAATATTGAAACTGTGAAATTGTTCTGATTATGAGATAAACCAAATTAACCGACTCTTACTTGAGCACTGAAAAAACCGACCACAACCAGGCTAAAAATAACATTCCAACACAAAGTTAAGCCCTTAAGCTTACTAGTCTACTCGATGAGTTGTTATTGAAGCTGCTAGTTGTTGCTGTCAATTCACAGAATATCACCAAGTCTAAAGCCCCAAAAAATCCTTCGGATACCTAAGAATCTTTCACTTCCCCAACAAAATAAGATGTTTGTAAGCAGCATCAGTGACATGCATAATTTGGTCTTTCAAGAGTGTGTCTGGAAGTAGAAGATGAATTTCCCCAGTGCTTACTTGACAGTTGAATTAATAAACGAAAGGTCCACGCATCATATAGAAGTGCCTTAATCCATGCGGATATTGGTGTCAAGTAGTGCAAATGATATATGAAATAACACTGCACAGCAAACTCCTGTAAGGAAATTCTTCCTTCATCAAGTCAATGTTTTGTGGGGGTCATTGTATCCGTCATCCACGGCACTCAACTAATACTTCTCCAAACAAGAAAAATTATTTAATTACTAAAACAAAATCCAAAAGCATACAGCTGCATATTACAGATATGTTGTTGGTAGCAAATAAAAATACACACAACTGTGGGCTACAATGGTGACTTGCCATCGGCATCAATGAGTATCCTTCCTGCGAGCCAATTCGCGAGCCCTTTCCCTCATTTCCTCTGGTGAAGGAGGTCTTACTATCTTTGATGGGTACACTATGTATGAACGCTTCATGCAAAAGAAAAACAAGATATGATGATTAAAAGAATTTATCAAAAGTGCTTTCCAAAAAAACAGAGGCTCACACCTTAGACAAACACTAAAGGGAGATGGCCAGGTTCCATGGAAAGGACTAAGGCAACAAGAAAACTAACAATTTCAGAAAAACCAGCAAAATTCTGGGTGCACCGTGTCAAGAGCATATTACAGCTCAAGATAGTGTAAACTTGTCAATGCTCTGACATGCGCAACTATCACAAACTATAATAAACTGATGCCAAATCTATAGTGCAGCCAAGGGATTATATCCGTCCATTCACACCTAATTTCGTTCTTTACAGCTTAGGGTGTTTTCTACCACAGAGTCCACAATCAAAATTCAACACAGGGATCGGTTACTTTGTTCTGGAGACAAATCCTTAGTTATGTAAGGTTCATAGCAAAACTACAGGAGAACTTATATCCAAACTGATAGTTGCAGTCTCTGCGATTTCCTAGAAAACAAGAGTATTTGATACTTTTGCTAAGGATTTTATACAAAGTTGACTCTAGAATCTGCTCTCCTCCTTTGTTTTCCTGCTCTTTGTGCACTATTTCTTTTTCTGTTTCAAAATTCTGCTCAGACAGTCCATTGGGGTAGAAGTGTAGAGTATCCAAAGTCCTCTCACATTTATTACCTCTTAAAAAACTACATCAACATAAACCTCGGTTACCAACTATTCTTCCAACAATTTAACCACCCAACAATTTAACCACTCACACAAACCCATCTTAAGTTGCTCAAAGAAACCTGCAATAGAAGTTTTGGATTCCAACCACTAAAGGTATTCCCTTGCCCTCAAATCCAACCAAATGCAAATACAATTCAACTACAAACCTTTTATCTTCAAGTCTAAACCCAGAAGCCCCAATCTCTACCAAGTCCTAACCCAGCACAACAACACAAGTTCAAATTACTTCCAATCTGTTGAACAGCAGCTCCTTCAATTCCTTGCTATGCTTCATATTAGTAAATTTTTAATTTTTTTTTTTTATTTTCCCTCAGAATAACTAGATAACCTCTGCTATCTATCCTCATTGTTTTTTCCCTTAGTATTTCATATCCTCCCAGTCTCTCTCTTACTAGAACCCACAGAGCTGCTCCACCAGTGTTCATATTGATCATAGATGATGGCATATTTAGATCCTCAAGTCTCCTCATTTGATAACAAGTAAAGGCATGCCATATTTCGTCTTGCACGTGAATACGATGGAGGCTTTCAGGAGTTACAAATGTTGATGATTGGTGGCAAGAAACTTGGAGCTTGTAATGAAAGTTAGACAGTGTTTCGCCCACTCTCACACATACTGCAAAAGATGCTTTCAGTGTGGCTATGGTAACTTGGAAGAACAGAACAGTTATCTACCTGCTCGTGGCGGAGCAGACAGCTAGAATAAAGTTCCATCACACTTGGGTGGCAGGGTGAGAAAAGGAGCAGTGTCGCAATAACTAGAAGAAACTTCTCGCTGAAATTCTTTTCTCAAAACTTGAAATTTAGACTGAATTTATATTTGAAATCAAAAAAGTATTGCTTGCATTGCATCTATCATGAGAAGCACAAATACCAGCAACTAAGGGCAGATTCATAGAGAGTGCTCCACATTCTAATCTAACAACGTTGGCACTCTCAGAAACACACCAATGTTGATTAAGCTAAACGGCCATGAATGAGAACCACATCCAAATATGATACATGTCTAATCAAGTATTAACTCAGTTATAGATAATAGATTGACAGCGACATGGGTAAACAACAGAATCTATGGGCAACTCTGTATGGTTTTAACTAAAAATTAATGGGCAAACAAAAGCCATGATTAATCAAAGAATAACTAATTCCATCAAAACGGAAAGAAAATAAAAAAGGCAAAGAGCATCTCAGTATCTTTTTAGCAAGAGCTTAATATGCAAATAATAGTTTCGGTAATCAATTTACTTGCTTAACATGCAAATACTAGTTTCGGTAATCAATTTACAAAGAAAATAAACAAACATGATATAAAGAGAGGAGATGAAGGGAAATACATACATTTCCCATGAATTTCTGGAGATTCTTGGTATTGTTAGCGAAAGCGTACATAAGAACAATGGGAACGGTCACATAAACACCGAATTTAGCAATCTCCAAAATCCCCTTTGATGTCCCCAGTGACGACATTTTTCTATCAGAAACGTAACGATCTCTCTCTCACCCCTCCCTCTCCAAATACCAAAAACTTTCTTTCAGTGATAATACTCCCAGGATGGAGAAGGGTTTAGGATCTATGAAAGAGAAACTAGATACGTGGAAGGATTAGAGGACAGCAAGTGGCTCATTTCTTGAAGCATTTATGTGCTAATGGCCTGGGCTTGGCCCATACCGGAGTTTCGAATACGTAGTTTCTCTACATGTATTCCATTTCATGTCTCTTGGGACGGGAAATTATCGTACGGACTCGAGCCACCAACTAAAATCATAGATGGAATTATTGATAGAATTATTACATATAATTAATTTTTTGAAATTATCTATTTAAAAAAATGTGTAAATTTAATTTTTTAATATTTAATAACACATTTATAATTATAGAATAAAATAATTAATAAAGCATACATCACAAAATAATATAAACAAATTTAATGATTTGTAAAAATTATATTGGTTTGGTTTATGATCTTAGAAGGTGGACCAAATTTGTGTAATAATTCCTTGTATGGGAACCAATAAAGTTTAGTTTTTTCTTCTTTTTTTTTCTTTCTGAAGCTATATACATTAATATAACTAGTGTTATTTTTTGTTCTTCAAATAATCTTAAAACCCCACTGCTCATATTGGCCTAATGTATATAAGATTTTTTTAAAAATTATATATATTAATAATAATATTTTATGGAGATACAAACTAAAGATTAAATTATCCAAAGATTAAGTTAAACCGAAATAAAGCATAGAAGCAAAATAAAAATGAATATTCGGTGATCGATAAACAAATTGTACCAAAGTTTTGAAAACAGATTCCACAGCATACAATTTTGATGAGTTTCTTGATAACAAAAAAATAAAAATATTGAGGAGTTTGTATGCATAGAAGGACTAAATTGTAAATTAGTCTCTCTCATAGTGAGAAACGAATTAATTAATCTTTTTTAGTTTTAAAAATTAATTATTTAATTATTTTTCTTATTTTTAATTTATTTTAATTTTTTTTTTAAGGAATAAAATAAGTAGTATGAAAAGATTGAGGAAAAAAATTATAAAATAAAATTACTCATTTTCAATACTAACTAAAAAAAACTAAATAATTAACTTTTAAAACTAAAAAAAAAACTAATTAATTTATTTTTTGAAACGAGAGGAACGAATTTATAATTTAGTCGCATGGATCAATTTACTCATGCACCATGAATGAACTAAAGAAAAGATTTATTTTTTCGAGTGTAAGAGACAGAGAGAGGAATAGGGGTTGAATATTTATAACGTCTTAAGAGTTAAAGAAAATTAATATCTATTTTATAGAATGAAAAAAATAATAATATTTTTTTTCTTTTTTTCTCAAATATTTAAATCTTACGTTAAAGATAAGATTAATTACATTCAAAATGAGAAATTAAATAATAAAGTTTAACCTTTTTTATATTAAAGATAAGATTAATTATATTCAAAATAAGAGATTAAATAATAAAATTTAACTTTTTTCAATAAATATGATTTTAATATTTAAATTTTATATGTTAATAAAAAATACGTCTGAAAATCAGTTCATTTATAACTGCATCATCAACTTATTGGCAAAACTTAATATTCTTATAAGCAGTAAGGGGCTTCCATTCAATATATTTATTTCAATTAAACGCCTCTGGAACTTCCCACGATTAGTTCTTAACATATATATATATATATATATATATATATATATATATATATATATTTGTTGTTCAAGTAATTGGCAGAGTACGTTTATCAAAGCTTTTCCCCTTACTCACATAGTCACGTGCAGTTCTTCTAATATACACATGATATGGAGCACTAATAAATAATAATTTAAAGGTAATCTAATTCACATTCCATGTTTTTTTATTGTTTTCAATCCAAAATGTGGCAATTAATTAACTATTTTTCTTTTCTATTCTCTTCCTTTCTGATTTTAGCAAATGCATGAATCACGTGCTATTATCACAGCATTTTGCTTGGTTGACTTTAATTACCAACAAGCAGTCAACGATTGATAGCTTGTTTGGTGTCTTTTTTTAACAATTTCCACTAAATTTCTCCTACAGACTTTACTCACATGTTCTGGCAATGGAACATCTGGGAACCCTGAGCCTTTGTTCTATTACATCATGCCCATTATTTCGCTCCTTTGTCTGCGCTAACTTGAAATTAATATTGTCAGCAAAGGTTGTTCAGAGGCCTTCAAGCTATATGTCCTTTCAGGTATAGCGAGAGGTAGGGTGGCTTCTGATGTAATTAATCAAATAATGTAACTGAAGGTGGATAAGGTTTTATGCATATTGAAATCTTTTTTACAATTTAAAGTTTTTATCAAGGTGCTTTTTAAAAAAAAAATTTAAAATTTTATTTTTATGTTATTTTTGTTTCAAACTCTAGTTAATGATAACTTATCCCGTAAACATATATAGCAAGCTCTAACAAATAATAAGCTTATTACGTGTGCTTACATGATATATTAAGATATGAAACGATAATAATATAAAAATAAAATTTTTAAATTACATAGAAAAACACTTAAGGTTTCAATCTTCGAATTGTACAAAATCACAACACGTGCAAAAGCCAAATTGGATGTACAGATTCCAGCAAAAAAATAATAATAAAAATGAAAGGGTAAAATTTCTAGATACGATGCATAGTGGTTCAACAGCATGCATGGGTGAGACTTGCTTAATAAATCACTACTATGCTACTAAAAAAATCAAAGACACATTTATAGATTGCTGCGTGCCTTTGTGATATCTACAAATGCTCAGATATTTTAAATGGAAGACGCACGCAACAACAAAAATTAACCTTCTCTTGCTATATAGAAAGGCATTTTAAGACAAATTAACATCAATAAAAATCTTTTGGTTCCGATATTAAGACATGATTCCTATTAATTGCCTAATTTTGTCGGGGGGTTTTTTTTGGGTTTATTTATTATAAAAATAATAATAATTCCAATCTCAAACAAACGGGTATTATATTAAAAAAAAAAAAACATTTTAATTCACAAACCTAAATTATTAGGAGACTCTTCAAAACTGATTTTATATTAATTATTAACACTTTTCGTTTGAAGGTGCGATAAACCTTCAATTGGATGACACCGAGTAATTCTTGCCCTTTTTTCAAGTTATCATGTGCTTTCTAGATTTTTAATTAGAGACTACTATGATATGGCGACTCTTTGTAACTGTTTAATTCTGCAAATTTTTTTATTTCTTTGAGAGTTTATTTGATGATTTATTGGTAGAAAATCCCAATTAATGATAAAACATGAATAGGATGTTCCAAAAAAGATCCGTGGTTGGAAATCTATGTCGTCGCCATGTAAAGATATTTAATCACCATCGCTAAATCCCAGACTTTTGACGTACGTAGATCATATATATAATTGCTCAAGCTCCTATTCTCTTGTTTTATATCTATTGGTCACGGTTTCATTGTTGCGTCTATGCATGTCAATGTCACATTATTTTGTATTCTCTATTGTACCTACAAAATGTAATGTGATATTGACTTTTAAATCTAATGTTCCTTCCATAATTGTCCAGCAAGGTTCATTAGCATCTAATGACGGATTATTACTGGTCCCAGAGGACCTTGGATCCAATTGTTCTGCCTACTATGACAAAGGCTGAAATTAAAACTGATATATAAAATACCTAAATATTACGATTATAAAATTTCCAAGTTGTTAATTATTCACCATCGCAGCAATAATATTTGTAGAGGTAAAACAATACATCCAATCACATCTATTCTCCATCTAACACTAATTTAACACCTCTATTCAATTTTGTTTTTTCTTAGGCCAGCTAGTTGGCCATTAGTGAAAGGAATAATTAATTGTCTGCTAAGGTTAATTAGCTAAAGGACAGTTTTTGCTCATTTTTGTAAATCATCTTTTTTAAAATTCAATTGGAGTCGATATAAGTCTTTGGATTGTTCCTATTAAATAACTGAATTAAGATCATGGAGATCGATTACTGCAAAATTAAATTAAACAATCCATACGAATTAAGTTTGGATTTGAAATATTTGGCATTTGGTATACCTAGAAAAAATGTTCTCAATATGTCTATCTAGAATAATGGGTACTATCATCAACATCACAGAAAAAGTTCCTCACAAAGAACAAGTTTCTTGATCGCTAGTTAATATATTCATATATTACATACACTTGGTATCAAGATACAAAATATACGGATCGTAAGTCCGAAAGGACCAGCTAAAGTTGAAAACACAAGACACATTTTACGAGCAGAAAAATGCATGCTAGCTTTCAAGTGATCCGCAACCATCACCATCATTGGCAAAATGCAGACTAATTAGTGGAATTGTGATTGCAGCATCTAGTATATGACCCTCAAAGTCTTCCTTTCATGTTTTGCAGCTCTAATTCAAGAACTAGCTAGCAACAAAATTAATCTTCAATTTCTCAGAGGTCAAAGAGGAACCAGTACTTCTTCTTGAGAACTAACAGTAAGACTTGGCTGAGCGGCTGTGAAGAGGGTCTGAAGCGTTTGGAACTTTTCTTTTGCTTGAAAAGAACAAATCATCTTTTAATTGATTAATTGGCGACTGGGCCATGCTTAATTATGTCATAATCAAGTTTATTATAACCATATATGATAGGGTCCCTTCAACATACCTACAAAACTTACTCATTGGACGAAGGAATTAACAAGGCACCATGCTCAAAGGCATATTCTAGGTTTCGCTTATCAAAAGGTGGCGCTGCCTTCCGTTAAGCTACTTTTCTACGTAAAAGGGATGGTTGGCTTGGCCTACTTGGATTTAACTAATAAGGTGACCCTTCTTGTTTTCTCCCAGAAAAAATTAAATTGAAAATAGAAAGACCTAGATAGCAAGAGAAAACGGAAAATGCACAAGGAAAAATAGATTCGCTTATTTACAATTTTCTTTTAAGAAAAATGCCACTATTCCTTGACCAACGATGAAATAAGTGGGAAAAGCATGTAATAAGATGGAAAGCACATTGGGTGCTCCTGTTACAAGTTAGAGGCTTACGAATGTACCACAGAACACATTGAAACATTCAAGTTTGGGATCAATTTAAAATCATATATTTATTTACATATTTTTACTAAATTCTCGCTTTTTTTACTCAAATTCTTTTGTTTTTGTTTTAAGTTATTTATGACTGCGAATGTTATTAAAAGATGAAACTTATTCTTTCATCAAGGCTCTAGTAAATGAATTTCCTTTGAGCATGTATTGAGAAATTACTTATTATGAATTAAGTGTTGCAATAAGCTAATCAAATCAAGAGTTTAGAGAAATATCGGTACCACATCTATAGTGCTCATATATACCGATATGGTACTCATTTAGATAATGGTTTAAATACATAATTTATCTTCAAACTATTAGGGTTATAGGAAAATAAAATCTGTATTATAATATGAATTATTTAAATCTTAACATATTAATTTATGAACAAATTTAGTTATTTATTTATTTGAAAGTTGAAGTATTGACAATTAACTAGTTTTTTTTATTTTTTTATTTGAAGGTTGAAGTATTGACAATTTATCTTCAAACTCATTTAGATAATGTTTAAAACGACGTTATTTTAAGCATTTTTTTCAAGAATTAAAATTAGTTTTGAAAAAAAGATTAATGATAGTTAGCTTTGAGAAAGCTTATATGATTTTATAGTTTATGTCTAACTTTTGTCGATGAATAGTTATCGATGTGTAAGGGATTCATCTAATAAAAAAGAAAAACTAAATTACTAAATATTTTTTAAAAAAAATTAAGACAATGAGACTCTAGTTGTTTAAGCTTTTTTTTTTTTTACTCATGCACAATAGGAGAACTACTCTAATACGATTTGAACCTGCAACTTCTTATTGCAAGTTTAAGCCCTTCATTTCACTTACCCCTCAAAATAAAGGGGATGTGGACAATACTTTTTAGTTTTATACAAGAATTTTTTTTATTTAAGGATAATGAGTATTTTTGGATTCATTTGTACATCAATTGAAATTTGTTTTTTTTTCCCTATGTTTTCAAAAGCATACTATTCACATCAGCTTGATGCATTGAGAAAAGATAAAAAATAAATTCCTTTGATTATTTATAGGTATACAGTTATACATAAAAAAAAAAAAAAATCATTTAGGTTTGCTTTCAGCCTTTCACTACAATTGTAGAGAAAAATTGAAAAATAAATGTTCATTGTTACCTTGATTACTCCCTACATAAAGTTATGACAATAGACAGGCACACCCCAAATTACACTAAAAGATTTGTAATTAATTATTAGTCTTAGGAAACAAGGGCAAGAGGGCAAGACTAAACACGTGGACCAAAACTAGTTAACAAAAATCCAATTATTGTTTTATTTAGCATTTGTTTGCAAGTTGCAACAATTTAGCTCAAAAAAATCCATTTTTTTTTAAAGTTTATTGTTTTATGTATCTTAAATTACCATCCAAACTGGAATAGATTCTATAATTCTAACAATCAAGAAAGCCCTCATTTCACTATAAATACAACATCATATTAATTGTGAGGAGATTTTAGTCCTTCTTGATTTTTAGCTAAAACTCTAAATTTTCTCTATTAGAACTTTCACACATTCAATCATATTATTATTAAAATTTCACTCAATTGGATTTTGATTACCCACCTATGTACTATTTATTTATCACGTAATTTATATTTTATTAATATTACATGTTCTTAATTTTACATCTCTCATTACTTATTTTACTTAGTTAATGTGTCGTTACTCAATATTTTAGTTATGGGATCCAGACAATATAAAGTGTTTTTCGTAAAACAAACTAGCATTTATTGATGTTCAAACAGAAATAATAATAATAATAATAATAATCACTCCCTGTTCGTTCTAGCCTTTATTTATATATTATTCTAAACTCCCACCCTTTCGATTATCGTTCTTGACGAACAACCTTTTTCCTTTGGCATTTTCTGTAATAAATTAAGTAGGCCGAATTCAACACATGCCCCCGCAATTAGTCAAATCGATAAGTGACAAAGTGAGATCCATGCAACACCTCAGGAATATTTATGCCAAGAATAAAATATATTAAATTTCTGATTTTAAAATGCATCTATACTCTAAACTTTAATCATTGAGAATTATTTTGATTTCTGTGAAGAGCATGCGTGCTTGGTTCATTGGGGTCAACCACTACTCTTAATTTACATCTACATTTAAGTCCCTCTAGTCACTTTTTTCAAACAACGAATTTTTTTTTTTAATTAAGAGTAACAAGACGTTGACATATGATATTAATTTTTTCTCTCTCAAATTATATTATCAGTAAAGAATTAAGTGAAATAAAATAAAAATTTCAAATTATCCCCACTCAATGGGATGGAACGAAAATGCTCATTGAGGAGCGGCAAGGAGGCACTAATTTTAGAACTTAGAATTGGAAACCAAACCTCACCTACATAAAACCTCAAAACCATATCAATAACAAGCCGACATTAGCTTCTTCTCATCAACAATAAACCGGATAGATCAATTCACAACCACAACCATTTGATTTTTGTTTTTTTGATGATCTATCTTTGATTAACGTGCTAAACTAATATGTCTTTTCACATCTTATTGATATGTTAAATAGATCTTCACATCCATGTTAATAGATGAACCTTGATTGAAACTTTTCGAATCTAGTTCTTTTGCCACACTACGTTTATCGATATGCGATTTTCTAATCCGAACAAACTTACATATAAAAAGACTATGTGATACTTGTGACGAATTATGGTTGAAGCGGTCGAGATGCAAACATAATGCTTGGTCTGCTGGGTGATAGGGTGTGGAGTGTTTGGGGGTACGTGGTGCCGTGATTACGGGTGATTGTTTGGATGGGTTTTAGTGTATTTGGATGCTGGCTTATGGAGTTTTGAGAGGTTGTTTAGAGGTGATGGTTTGTTGGATGTTTGGCTTGGAGGACTATTGGTTTTGGGAGGTATGCATGCTATGTATTTATGTTTTTGCTTGTAAGAGAGTAAGGTTGTTATTTACGGTGAGGAGGAAAACAGTTTGTGGTGAGGGAAATTGGGTTTAATGATAGAGAGTCTATGAAGGATTAGGGTTGTTGTTGTTGTTGTTGGTTTTTTTTTTTTTTTTTTTTAAAGGATTTTAGTTGTGCTCATAGGAGATCGAATTTAATAGGATTTGGATTAGGAAAGGCTACCAATAAGTAAAAACACAATGGTAAGGCTATTGGCAGCGATTGAGGAAGGTAGGGGCTTGACAATAGCCGTGAAAATTTGGTAGCACTAGGCTTGTTTTGAGAAAGAAAATGACTATTAGCAACATAATAACTACATCTCGAGTGGTTGTGTTGACAATGAATAAGAGGATTAGTTATCGAGAGTTACATTGAGGTTTTGAGTAAGGTTTTTTTAAGTTGGGGCAATTTAGGATTTTTGTTTTAATTTCACATAATTCTTTATTGATATTATAAATTGAAAAGGAAAAAAAATTAATATTCCATGTTAATATTCTATTATTCTTAAGAAAAAAAATTTCCTCGAGTACTTGAAAAAATGATTGGAGAGACCTAATGTAGATGTAAATTAAGAATAGAGGAACAAGATAATTGAAAAAATTTAATAAAAAGATACAATTAAAACATTTAAAACAGCAGTGAAATCTTTAATCCATTAATTTAACTCATAATTCCTGCTTAATTCATTTTTAGCCCGCTTGTGTTGTGCGGATACGAATCTTTTGCTTGAGGTCCCACAACCCAGACCCAAAAAATTGCTAGGTCCCGAATTTGCTGACGTGGCACTTTATTAACCGTCCAACCCAACATAGAAGTGATGCCGACAGCTTCCAAAAGTGAAAATAGAAGACAGCTTGAGAGTGACCTACTGGCTACTAGCCCCCGCCACCAAACATGACAAATCCACTTGCCTGCAGGTGCTGCCTCTGGGGAAGGAGGTGAAGTTAAATTGCGCAAATATGGCTCGTGAAATTTGACCTTATGGTTCCAAAAAAAAAACGGGGTCATGATACGTAGTTACGTACCATTCCTCCGCTACAAATAATTCATTAATTAAATTCTTTTATCAAATTAAGTAGTAATTAAATTTTGAATCAATTTGTTTTCTATGAAGTCTTTCTTGATTAAATTTTTATACTGAATCGATTTTTACTTAAAATTACTAATAACGTTAAGTAAAAGTAAATTATATAATTAAGTGATACATGTCATTTGATTTTATTGATTTTAATAATATTTTTTCTTTTGATTTTTTATTACAAAGATTATTTATTAAAATTTTAAAAAGTTAAAAATTCATCACCATTTTTTATTACCAAAAATAGTTATTAAAATTAGAAGAAAAAATTGCATTTTTCAAAATTAGAAAAAAATCCAAATTTTTTTTCTAATTTCTATAAATTCTTTCTATAATAAAAAATTGAAATTTATTTTCTAATTTCAACACATGCTTATTACAGAAAAAAAAATTAAAAATTGGCAAAGAAACCGATTAATCAATATAATACAGAAAGTACCAAAAAAAAAAAAAAAAACACGAACCGTGCAATTGCTAATATACTAACTGGAAGGCAAATTAAGTTGCACAAGATGGGAACACTGCTACCCCAATGAAAATATCTTTAAGATTGTCTTTTGTTTGCTTTTGTTAGCGAGGGCCGTTTAAATCTTGCTGATTATTTAGATGCTTTGAACATTCCAGTTGGTACTCACGCGATTTGGAGAAAAAAGAGGAAAAATGACAAGAGATTCATGGAATTTTCAGGTCGTTTAATATGGTAAATGATCATTAGCCAGCTTCCACTTGCTTTTTCTCACAGTGAAATGATATATTATTTTATGTTCGATATGAACTTCGGCAATTAGGCTTTTGGCACCTCATAGTCATTAAAGGTTGAAAGTTTCAAATTTTCTGTGCTTTTCAACTTTCGAGGAAAAGGTAAATTGGGGAAATATCATCACGGTTTCATAAAAAAATATATTATATTCCTCCATCAATGCTCCAACATCCAGTTGGGTTCTTGAATGCGTCACCAGCTCTGTGTCTTGCATGTAAAAAGAACTGTGCTGTTTACCAAAATATCTGCTCTACCTCCCTTTTTTAACTATTTTTTTGGGAATCTTTCACCGCTTACTGGCTTTGCCGATTAATTCCCCCAATGACAAGCTACACGGTTGCTTGGGAAAACACTATTAAATAAATGGTTATATAAAAATTTTGCAATTTGCCAGTTCTGCTATAGTATGCTTTTAGGTTTCTTTGAGAATAGATTTACTTGCAATTAGAAACATGATAGCAATATATTTAATAACCAAGAAAATTGATAAATTTAGTTTGAAAATTTACGGATATTCTTATAATTATCATCCCTGTTATTATGTGAAAATAATTATTAAGAACAAGATCGCAATATAAATTTGATCTTGAGGCTCGTTATTAAAAACATTATATACAAACAACTAATATTAATGTGTAAAAACAAGTTTAGTCTTTTTCTTTTTCCTTTTTTTAGAATCAACTTGACTTTTTAATTAATCATTATTGAAATCACCACTGTGCCCTCAGAGATTTTATAAGAAAATAAAAATATATAGGATAAATAGTTCAATTTATTCTTATATAATTAGTTAGATCTCTAATTTATCTTTATATTTTTAATTATATTTATTATGTTTATATACTATGTTACATTCTTTAATATGTCATTCAATCAAGTTTTTCATTCAAATTGACATAATTATACTTTTCATTCCAAAATTTCTATTGAGTTATGCAAGAATATACTTTTGATTTTTTTAAAAAAATTAAATGTTTATTTTTAAAATTTTAATGATTGAATAATCTTGAAAATTTTGTATTTCTAAAAATATTTGGAACAATTTTGAGAAAATTTTCTATTATATTCTTATATAACTCAAGAACAATTTTAAATGAAAAGTATAATTTATCAATTTGATTGAAAAAAAACTTGATTGAAAAACATATTAAAGAATTAAATACTTTACAAAGGAATAATAAATAAAGTTAAAAATATAAAAATATATTAAAAACTTGCCTAATTATATAAAAATAGATTAAACTATTTGCACAAATATATATTTAATTTGATCAAACCTAAATTATACTATAGAAATTACGACTCATCGACATTCAAGTTTTTTAAAAAAACAAGTTCTTATAAATCAATTCTAATTCCAACCAGACTATGGACATTAAAAAAATTTAATTTATAAAAAATTAAAAAATAGTAATAATCTCATGCTAAACTTAAATGTCACAAATTCTTTCTCACAAAATGAAACACAAATACACACAGACAAAATGAAATTGTCATGAAGTTTCATAAATATATTTATTATATACTAGTTCATTTTATTTCTTTATTAATCTAGCATGGATCCAAGCTATAAACAAGTGAATTAGACTGGTAATGGACTTTGTCCGGTGTAAAGGTTTAGGATGGACGCGGATATTTTGAAAGAGCAATATCTATATTTTTTTTGAGATGCATAAGAGAAATTGAATTGATAGGCTCATAGCAAAATATGTTAAAAACAGATAAAATTGTTACTTTATTTAGCATTTATTAACAAGTTGTAGTAGTTTAGTTAAAAAAAAAAAAATCATTTTTCCTTTTAAATTTATTTCCTTTTGTTCTTATAAATCAAGTTTAGAGAATTATCGTTCATGTCCATTAAAAAAATTAGTAATAATCTTTCACGATGACTCAAGCTAAACTTAAATGTTACATATTTTTTGCACAAAATGAAACATAAATACACATAAATAAAATAAAATTGTCCATTTTTTAAGAATCAACTTGACTTTTTAATTAATCATTATTGAAATCACCAACCCTCAGTGATTTTATAAAAAAATAAAAATACATAGGATAAATTGTTCAATTTATTCTTATATAATTAGTCAAGTCTCTAATTTATCCTTATATTTTTAATTGTATCTATAATGTTGATGTACAATATTAAATTATTCAATATGTCATTCAATCGAGTTTTTCATTCAAATTGACATAATTGTAACTTTTATTCCAAAATTTTCATTGAGTTATGCAAGAATATGCTTTTGATTTTGATTTTTTTTTGAAAGTAAATCTTTATTTTTTAAATTTTAATGGTTGAATAATCTTGAAAAAATTTATTTCTTGAAATATTTTGAACAATTTTGAGAAAATTTTCTATTATATTCTAATATAACCCAAGGACAATTTTAAAATGAAAATATAATTTTACCAATTTGATTGAAGAAAAAAACTTGATTGAAAAAACATATTGAAGAATTAAATACTTTACAAAGGCATAATAAGTACAGATAAAATATAAAACTTGCCTAATTATATAAAAATAGATTAAACTATTTACTCAAATATATATTTAATTTGATCCGACCAAAATTATACTATAGAAATTACAACCCATTGATATTAAAGTTAAAAAGAAAAAAAGAAAAAAGTTCTTATAATTCAATTATAATTCCAAACAAACCATGGACATTCAAAATTTTAATTTATAAAAATTATTTAATATTTTGAACGTAAAAATGTTTAAAAAGTGAACGGGCTTCTGAAATTAATAAAATTTGTTTTCAAAACAAGATCCATTTAGTATAAAAAAGAACTCCTTTAATCTCTCTCTCTCTATATGTACAGTGAAATCTCTTCAATTATATACAAGTATTAAAAAATATATATATATATATATATATTTTGGGATGATTATATGATGACCCTATCTGTGCATTTATTATTAACTTTTAGTACTAATTAGCAACATTCCATACTTATCAATTGCTAAACCGAAAGCCTCCATACAAAATTCCAAAAAACGAAAACTTCAACTATATAACATGATTGCATGGTGCCGTTCATGTTTTTGTTTTCGTTTCCGAGTAAGTAATACTAAAGAAGAAAAGCAAGGAGAAACACGTAAAACGACAAAAATAAGTGCAACGAAAATAATAATAATTGAAAAAAGTAGAATTTAGAATACACCTGAATTCTAAAATGAATCCAACAACTCCAACTGGCACACACTCACCCACTTATAAAACCGAACCTCCCCACCCTTGTATTACTGTCCCGTGCAGTCTTTTTGGGTTGATCGCAAGCCTCCTCTCCCTCCCCTCCTATCCGTAACCCGTCCACGCCACAGCCCAAGAGGCACGAGCCATGGAACCACCGCCACCACAAACCCCTTCATCAACATCACTACAACGAACCTCCTCGATCCCGACCACACTTCTCAACAAATACGAATTAGGCCGACTGCTTGGCCGTGGCAGCTTTGCAAAAGTCTATGCAGCCCGTTCTTTATCCGACAAGACACAATTGGCAGCGATCAAAATCATAGACAAAACAAAAACCGATGCTTCCATGGAACCCCGTATTATCTCCGAGATTTCAGCCATGCACCGCCTTCAACACCACCAAAACATTCTCAAAATCCACGAGGTTATGGCAACAAAAACCAAAATCTACCTCGTCATGGAACTTGCCTTAGGAGGCGATCTCTTCTCTAAGATCCGCAAGACGGGGAAACTTAAAGAATCAGCAGCACGTCGTTACTTTCAACAGCTTGTCTCTGCCCTCCGTTTCTGCCACCAAAATGGTGTCTCTCACCGCGATATCAAGCCTCATAATTTACTTCTTGACGGTAAAGGTAATTTAAAAATAACTGATTTTGGACTTTCGGCTTTGAAGAATGGCGGCGGCGGCGGCGGATTGCTTCACACGGCTTGTGGGACTCCGGCTTTCACAGCGCCGGAAGTTATGGCACGGCGGGGCTACGACGGAGCTAAAGCGGATGCTTGGTCTTGTGGGGTCATGTTGTTCTTTTTATTGTCGGCTTCTTTGCCTTTTGATGACAGTAATCTTGCAGTTATGTGTAGGAGAATTCATAAAGGAGAATATCAAGTGCCTTCCTGTATACCAAAGCCGGTTAAATCGATTATAATCCAGCTTCTTGACCCGAATCCTAATACAAGAATGAGCATTGAAGCGTTAATGAATCATGCTTGGTTTTTGAAGAAGTTTGAATTACCAACTCAAAGTAGCTTGTTCGAGTTGGATTATAAAAATTCGTGTAAATTTGATAAGAGTGCGGTTGCGAGCATTAATGCCTTTGATATAATAACTATGTCTTCAGGGTTGGATTTGTCAGGTTTATTTGAGGTTAAGAATTGGAGAGAGAGAAGATTTACATCAAGCGAAACAGTGGAAAGAGTTACAGAGAGAGTGAAAGAAGTTGGAGGGAGATTGGGGTATAGGGTGGAGGAAGGAAACGGTGGGGTTGCTATTGGGTTGGGGAAAGAGAGGGTGGGATTGGTGTTCGAGGTGTTAGAAATAGTGGAGAAGCTGTTGGTGGTGGAAGTTAAGGCGGTGGTGGGTGGTGGGTTGGAATTTGAGGAGTTTCATTGGGGAGAACTGAAAGATGGGCTTGAGGACGTTGTGCTTCAATGGCATAACGATGCTCTGTGAAGAGAGACGTTCATGTTGTCCTTCAATGGAGTCTGAGGAGGTTCGAGGATGTTTGTACCACAGTGAGCTTGCTTGTTCTTGGTGGATGCATATATGGTTATTGCTCTAATTGGGGAAGGAATACAATTTTTTCAGTTGTAGTGTAATTTTCACTGTTTACTTGTTTTGGCTGGGATTGTGATATTAATTTATTTGGTTTAAGCTAAGAACCTGTAAATGTGATGATCTCCGGATTAAAATCTCTTAGTTTGTCTCTTGATCCTTTTATCTATGCTTGTGTTCTTTGACATGGCATCTCACAAAACCAGTACTCCTATATGCAAATATAAAAACATGCAAGATTTTTTACAGGAACTGTAAAAACGATACCTGATACTTCATTATTGGTGGCATTGCGTCATCTTCCATTTCAGTTCTGTGTTTTCAGCTGGTATACCGTCGTCAACTGTTGGTTTGATGAGACTTTGAGATTTCTTTGTGGGACACAGATTCTCAGATTCCAAATGTCAATTTGTGTCTGTAGATACCATCGGTTGTTGATTACTCGTTCGTCCATCGAATTATAAGCCAGGAAAGGTCACAGCCTCACTGGAGGCAACTTGTGAAGAAATAAGTTTACAAAAAATGTGAAAAAGCTCTGTTCAGCTGCAGAAAATACCACAGATGAAATTTCTGTGTAGCCGTGAATTAAAACTCGAAAATTGATTCAAATTAATTGATTTTAAACCTTCTGAATTATGAAGCACAAAATAACACAGGTATTTTATACCATACTTGTTTGTTGATCCAATAAAAAATAAAATAATATGCAATATCCGAAGGTTACAACCTATGACTGCAGATTAATTTTTCCACCGAATTTTTGCAGAGATATTAATTAATCATCAATTATCATCTACCTCAGCTAAAGTAGAGAGAGCCATCATCCAAGCCTGCGAACCACACTGATGATCCTTCTCCGTTGTTGCTTCCCACTTGTCAACAGGCTTCTTTGACGTTCCACATTTTATATAAACAATTTAATTATTTGAACATGCAATCATTGGTTGGTTGGTAGCTTCTACCATTTCCTTGAAAGTTCCCGCTGCCAATTTGATTCTTCGATCCAATCCAAAGCATACAACCCAAGCACATTACTTCAGCTCAACAAGTCAGTCAAAAGTCCCAATTCTTTCATCTTTTTTGCAATCTGAATGGCTTCCACAGCCCTCCCAAGTCTTGTTTACGTGCACAACATGGTACCAGAAGTGAACTCATTTGCATCCCTTGAAGAATATGCATCAGGACCAGCAGCCGAAGACTGAAGCAGTTTGCTTGTTTAATTTGCTTCTTTCAAGCAGCCAAAGACTGAAGCAGTTTGCTTGTTCCTTTTGCTTCTTTCAAGCAGCCATATCTGGCACAGAGCTTGATCAAGGAGCTATACGTGGCTCTATTTCCAGGCAAACCAGCTCTTTTCATCGCATCTAAATAACCAATATCCTGTATTCCTGTTTGACAGTTCCAGCATCAGAAAAAAGCTGTCTTTCTAATTTACCTAGTTTCACAAAAACTGAGATCACAGCACAACATGGGATGCAATCACTTTGTCTGTCAAGAAGCTAAGTTATTTGGATCTACAAGTTGACTCTGCTCTAACCCTTGAGCTTTGATCATCACATTGAACTGGAGAATGATCAGCTTCTTCCCTTACAGCAGATCAGCTTCCAAAACATCCAACACTCCTCGCATGCATCAAGGAACGCGGAATAGAACTCTGAAGTCTGAACTCATATTCCCTCAGAGATGGAAATCTCCTAAACCATAGCAATGACTTCTAAAGAATCACAGGTTCAATGTACATTCTATTCAGAGCTGAATGGGTATACTCATCGAACTCCAAAGCCTTCTCGCCCATATCCGACACCAGATATTCTGCGTCACTAACCATATGCCTTATTGAGATTATGCCTATTGGATACAAGCATAACCCTTATTGATAACAGCTACATTTCATAACAAAGTGAACGTGAATTTACAAGGATTACCATATAAAAAACCCTAAGTGCAAGTCCTAAATCCTAACAGAGCTCAACCGAAGAGAACAATTCCTAAATCTTATGTGCCTCTGCCTCATGCTGTCACTTTTGACTGTAGAGCTCATCTGAGGTGGCTCGTCTGGTTGCCAGCTTCAAATCGCTTCCTTAGCTTTCTCCATTCAAAATGCACAAGTGTAGTCACAAAGAAAAGCAATCTCGAAAGAGTCCAACGCTCAAGATTTTTTTTTTTTTTTTTTAAATCTGTTATTTAATTTAATTTTTTCCAACTGGCAAGCAGTTTTAGATACAGTCATCTCTCATTATGAGCTGGATGAGAGTCTCTCAAATTGAAACATTATTTAAACAAATCCAGAATACTAGATCAGAGAAATTAAATTTTAAATGGTAATTCTGGAACACCCCCTAAAACTCTGGAAAAGATTCTGTAATTTGGTTAGAAAACCGTTTGATCATTTCGTTTTATAGCTCTAGCTGTGATAATATATATACCACATGAATGATATCAGTTATGCTTAGCATTAATAAATTTGGCTCTCTCATTTCTTTCAAGGTTGAAGAGTACTGCCAGCATGGTTGGCAATTCATGCAATGATCAACAACTATTCTTGACAAATCATTAATGCAAAACAACATCATGATTTGTCTCCACAACCACAAAAATCTGCTTAAGTTCTTATCAACCATTTCAAAATTCCACTGTATTTTGCCCTCATTCTCTATTGGTTTCGTTTTTGTCTTCATTTCCACTAGAAGATCTTCATTTTCACTCATAACAAAAAGAAAAAAGAAAAAGAAATCTTCATTTTCTATTTCCATTTCATGCAGGGAGTTGACCCTAATTGTTCCTGGATGTTGATTTTGAAATGCTAATTGCCACAAAAATTATGTAATGCAGAAAGCCGAAATATATAGTTAAGACTCATTCTTACAAGGCAATGCCAATCAAATTGAGCTATATTCTGATTGATACACACCATTACATTCAACAATAGAAAAGCTTAAAACTTTTCCAGACTTTACAATTATAAACCACAAAATAACGTAATTAAAACTAACACAACAAAATTCATCACCATTATTTACTAACTTGACTCTTAACAGAACTCTCCGAAGGCAATAACTTTATATGTGAGGGTAAGAAGACCATTCCTGATCTGTGCAGCAACATCCTTCACCGTGCCATATCAAAATACAGGGTCACTAAAATCATATTCATCACATCCTTTGAATGAGTTCTGTTAGAGCGTAATATAAAACCATTCATGCAGACTCAGCTGACAGTTTAAACCTTTGGTTTGAGATGATTTCTTCACATAATATCATAGTCTTGATCAGGGGCGGACGCACATGTATTTCTACAGGGGCCCGACCCCCCAACTTCTTGTTTTTTTTTTTGCCCTATAGTAGAGTAACTTATGGCCCCCCTCGAAACTTTTTTATTTATTTTTTCCCTAGAGTAACTGAGTAGCCAACCCAACCCTCCAACTTTTGTTTTAATGTACAGTTCCTATCTCTAACTTACCCTACATTAACATAACATCACTTTTGCCACCATTTCACTTGAAACACATGGCTTCAGTTTTTTTTTCTTCTTATACTAGAGTAAAACAAATCCAGCCCTTTTTAATATTTTTTAACCTTTGACCTTGGTTTTCTCACAAGACATAACTAAAACTTTAATATTTATTTAATTTGATGCCAGTTGCTTCCTACGGTTACTAAATTCGTTCATTCTTCTCTTTTTCTTAATTCTTATTCTATTCAAAATACCAAAAAGAAAACCTTTTCTCCGATCTGGATTTTTTTATTCGACAACACGATAGATATTTTCTTAAAAAATTAGTAATTTATTAATTCTTATTATATTATTTACATTATTAATTTATTAAGTTTTTCATTTTATATATTGATTGAATCTTGACAACTCCCAATTTTCTTTTTTAAATAATATTTTATAATTAAAATATTAGATTAATTCTCTTCCTAATTTTATTTTATGTGATTAAGGTATCTATTAGAGTATCAAATCCATGGCTTAGTAAAATTATGATAATCTATCGACTTAAATTAAAATTGTGCTATTGATCTTGAAATTTTGTATCGTCGTTATACTTGTAGTTGCAAATAATCATTCTTCCTTCATTAATGGTTATTAAAAAATTATTTAATTATTTTACTCATAACCATATTTAGATTAATATACTAGATTCTCAATTTTTTTTTTTGTTTATAATAATGATTTTTCTTGTTTATATTTTATAGGTTTTATATTACTAAAGTGACTATTTTGAAATATTATTGAGTAAAATTAAAATAATATAAAATCAAATATATATATATATATATGTGTGTGTGTGTGTGTGTGTGTGTGTGTGTGTGTCCTATCTTAGTCATACACCTACCTCTATTAGATTCTTAGTTCACTCAATGAATCTCCCACGTGTAACCCTTTGATAGATCCATTGAAACGAGTGTCAAAGTGCATAAGTTCTCTAATGAGACAACTATAACGACTTCAAGTCTAAGGACCATTTATACCTATCTCCTATGAGATTTTCATAGACCATAACTAAATGAGTTCTCATTGCGAGTCAAGACCAATGAATATTCTCTAACATAAATAACCTAAGTGCTTGCTTTGGCATTAGCAAGTCAATAGGTATGAGATCTCTTACTGCTATCATATAGCTTACAAGTCTATCCACATATAGTCAATGTCAATTCTTGACAATGCTACTTCTTGACAATGCTACAACTTAGGACGTTTAATGATATCATTTATATACATTAGTGTTTGTGTCACATTTTTTGATTAATCACTATTGCAAATGCATTCCATAAGGACTTTTATCTAATTCTACTCGAATTTATGAACATGAAACACAAGAATTAATAGAATGACTTCTTTATTATTATTAACATAAAATATGCAATAATACATTAACTCAAGTTCATTCAAATATG